TTATTATTTACATAAATTATTAAATTTTTATTTAAATTTTATGTTCAAAAATTAAAAAAAAATTAAATTGAATTTATTATAAATAAACTTAAAAGTTATTATCTTATAAATTAAGTTTAAAATTCAATTTTTATACCAGCTAATAATTTGATTTTAAAAAAAAAAGCTGAAAAAATTCTGTAGCGTATAAGAGGAAAAAAGTGGGCCCCAGTTACGGTTAAGTCCTTTGAGGGCCCCCGTTGTGCTATTGGCCCCCCGAAACACGCCTGATAGGGACAAATTACTGGTCCCCACATTTAACGCGTTTTTTATTTTTTATTTTTTATTTTTTTGTTCCACTTGTCCTTTTTAAAAGGGTGACTCACCCTTGTCTTCATCCCTATTTCCCAATAAGGCAGTTCTTTTTCGTTTATTTTTCCTCCTCTTTTTTTTTCTTTTTTTTCTCTCTATCCTTCTTCATGATATTGTCAGTTGTGTTTTTGGTTTCTCTTCTTGTTTTTGTAAAGAAAATGGAATGCAAAATGTCAATGAGTCAAAGCCATTATGTCGGAATAGCAATGCTTGCAATTTGAAAGAAAGTGGGTTTTTCTTCATTCATTCATTCATCATTCATTTATTCACATCCTTTTTGGTGGTGTATGCTAAATTGCTAATGTGATGTGGTCTTTGGGAATAGTTGAACACTTTAGACCCATAAGAATTGTTTTTGAACCGTCAAAAGGAAAATTATTTTATTAATAAAATACAAAGAGTATTTTAATTTGTATACATCAATTTACAAAAGAAAAGTAATTGCATAACAATACTTAACAAGATCTACACAGGCAATAGAAAAATATCATCATTCAAAGCATGCCAAATGAAGGTACCTTTCCAAGTTGAGATTCTTGAGAATAATTCACCCATGAGAATAATTCACTCACCATTAACTAAGATCAAAGCAAAATGAAGCAAGTTGAGGGGTATAGTTGATGTGGTGAAAGTGGAACTCCATGCAACGCTAATTGTTAAAGTCCTAAATTTTTTGAAAATTCATATTAAAACTTTTCATTAAATTTGAATTTTGAGATGTGGGAAAAGAAATTTAAAAAGAGGAAGGATATTTCATATTGTATAGTTAGTCCTTCATAGACAAGAACTAATTCAGGTGTTTTAGTAGAAAGTATATTTGAATTCTTGATTTTGATATCATTAATACTTATTAAAAAAGTATAAATTAGAATTGATGAGTTGTTAGTCTAAGAATTATAAGTAAATAGAAAAGTGGATATCAATTTACATTATAAAAAATTTGGTAAAAAATTTCAAAATTACATCATTTTAATAAAATCCTATTGAAAAATACTAAAATATCATGATTATTTTAAAAGTAAAGTTGATATTTTAGTCATTTATCGTAATTTTTTATTAAAATGAAATAGTTTAGAAGTATTTTTTTACCTAATTTCTATAAGCTTATCTTATAAACATTAATCTTATGAGTAAAAATGTTCAATATACTTTGAAAAAAAAAATATCATGTGTAGGGAGTGCGCATACACGACTTTAATTGAAATTGCTGAAAGGCACATCTAAACCCAAAATTTCACTAATTCGAACTTTGTTTACTACATTACTTTGATCCCATACATACTATATATTAAAAACTTAAAAAGTAGTACATAAAAAATGATCGAAGTGAGAAATCTAGACTCAAAAGTCCTACTAATACAACATTCGTTTACTTTAAATCTAATTCAAAGGTGCTCAAAAGTATAAGACCCTAAAAGTGTCACTAATCCAAGACCCTTGAGCTAAGTTAAAAGGACGCATGTTCTTCTTCCACCTCAATCAAACGAAAATTGACTCGAAAGGGTCTTGTGTACCATAGGGGCCGCGCCATTGCCTTTTCTAAAAATACAAAAAATAAGAAGGAAAGGGTCATGTGTAGCCACATGTGGTGTGTATTCCCAATTGGGTATACCACCTTCATTTTATTAAAAAGAGTGACTTTCACATTTTTCAGCTAAAAAAGAAAAAAATTTAATATATAAGAGTTTTTCTTAATTAAAGTAAGCGTTAAAGAAAATTGTTAGCACTTCTCCAACGCAAATAATATATTTACAACATAATACACATTAAACATTCACAAGGAATTGCAAGGGGATAATGAGTAATACTGGGGTGATGAATTTTTTGTGATTAAAATTTGGATCAATGATAATTATATGTAATATTTTATTTAAAATATTAAAAGG